TGTGGTCCCTTATCAGCCCAAAGATTCCAGCTTTTCTTTCTCTGCCCAAGGATCCCTCCTGCTCACATGATGTGTGGTTTCCTGCATTTGGCCTGTGCCCCTCCTTTCTGCCTAATCCCTGCCATTTGGTCTGTATCCCCCTTTCTCTGCTCATATCTAGCTATCTGCCTGCTCTAACACTTTGGGTGTCCCCTAGGAAGGAGAAGCCAGCCGGCGCAAGGGCTAAAAAGCTGGCACAAGAGGCCAAAAAGGGAAAAAGTGGGGGACTCTTCCACTGGCGACTTCTACCTGGTGCGGTGATGGAAGGCAGGAGGCACGGCCAGTCTGGAGGCGCGCTCCGCAAAGAGCATAGAGAAGGCACAGAGGGGCACCACGTGGTTGGGCCAGGGCCAGAAGAAGGGAGAGATGGAGGAAGGAGGAGATGGAGAGAAGAGTATTCGGGAAAGAACAGACACCTTTCTCATGTGCATTCACCACTATGGGCTGGGGTCATTTGCATCAGTCAGATTGAGTTTCAGGGCCCTCTGAGAGTAGCCCAGCCAAGGTTCCTCAATCCTGGGCAAGACTTCAGGGAATTTCCGAACGCTAGGGAGCGGCAGGAAGGTCTGAGAGAGGAAAGGAAAGCAGAAGAGGGAAGCCTGCCCTGATGATTCTGGTGTCCAGAATGGAGCGTCCAGTCAAGCCAGGAGACTTCCATAGAAGCCCAAAGGGCTCCCCTGGAGTCCTAGCCACGTATGGGCCACCAAATGTTGTGGGCCACGGTGGCGCAGCCCGTATGGGGACATAGTGATGTGGGTTTGGTAAAAGAATTTACCAGAGGTAAATTATGGGAATAGAAAGGGGTTTGTTAGGGTGCACTGTCACAGACAACAGCAGGCCCCACAGACGAGAGATGCCTTCGTGAGCCAAGATGTTTTTTAAGATAGTAATATAATAACAGTAATTGCAGCATTCCTTTCCAGTTTTAATGCACTGACTGTAACTACACTCTTTTGCAGGTATGATTTTTAATGAACGTGATCAGGAGTTGAGAGACTTGGGGTATCAGAAACATGCCTTCAATATGCTTATTAGTAACCGCTTGGGCTACCATAGAGACGTGCCGGATACAAGGAATGCAGCGTATGTTCCTTATTAGTTTCTGCTCATCATTTTAATAACAGTACTTTTAGTGCCAGTGTAATTAGTCATGGGGATGGCGTTAATATTTTGCAATTAGGCTTCATTATTCAGCGTACTAGAAAACTTAAGGCAGATTTTTACTCTTAGGTTTGAAGCCATGTGGTCTGAGAATGTACTAACAAAATTCCAGAGCTTGCTGTATTTCTTTTGAAATTTAAAATCATGTGGGGGAAATGGATGGAGGTGCTAACTGCATGTGATTAAATAACCCTCCGTGCATAAATAAACGTTTATTATTGGATTCATGACAGAAAGAAATTAAAATCAGTGAAGAATTCTATTTATCTCACTTTTCTGTTTTCGTTGCTTTTGTTTCTTCAGAGGCTTTCATTCCTCTGGTCAATCAGCTGTTCATTCCTTGTTTGCTGGACACTCCGTTAGGCCCAGGGAATGACCAGAGTAAGACACAGTCCCTGGTTCACAGGGCTTGGAGTCTGGCAGGGGCGGTAGATAAGAAGATGAGTGAATGCAGTACCACAAGAGTGAGGGCTGCGGTGGGAACTGAGGAAATGGGGCCTCCAGACCAGAGTGATCAGGGAGGATTTCCCCACGTAGGGAACAGATTGAGGCATAAAGTTACATTGTTTGTCAAAGGGACTGAGACACTTCACTTGGGCTGTGGTGGAAGAATGGCAGGAGGCTGAAGGTGGGCGGGTCCCAGACCTTGGAAGGCTTGGTGTGCTGGGCAAAAGGGCGCGAATTCCAGATTTGATTCTTTAATCAGTGGTTTTTTATTGTGATGGCTTAAAGCCACTTACCCCTTTTTATCAAAAGTTGCTTACATGGAGGCTCTTCCATTATCCTGATACGTGTCATAGTTTACTTAATGTCTTTTTCTGTTATTGGGCAAAAAATAAAATTTTCAAATACCAAATTTCATACTTCTGTTACTTCCTTTTGAAGCCTCATCAAGGAGAAGAAACTGAACATCAGCTTATGAGTGCTGCATTAAAAACTGTAGAGATTTCAGTGGACACACTTTTATGTAACCTCTGTACCAAAAAAGAAAAAAATGCAAGCTTTTAAAAAGTTGACTTAAACAATAAGCGGAGTAGTAGGTATTGGAAGGAGAAATTAATAAATGTAAAACTCTTGAATAAGAAACCACACTGGTCTCTTAAATGCTTTTTTAAACGTTGGTAAAATGTAAGAAAGTCTGCACAAGGGGGCAGTTAATATTTAGTGAAGAATAACCCAGAACACTTGGGCTTTTAAAATGTCAGAATGTCCCCATATTTGTCTTCACAGATGTAAAGACAAGTCTTACCCGACGGATCTGCCAGTCGCTAGTGTTGTTATTTGTTTCTACAATGAAGCCCTGTCTGCCTTGCTCCGGACGGTGCACAGCGTCCTCGACCGCACACCAGCCCGGCTTCTTCACGAAATTATCCTCGTGGACGACGACAGTGACTTCGGTAAGGAGTGTTGTAGAGTGTTGAGCACATCAGCAGAGCTGACCATTCAGTACATAATGGTTAGGAGGACCCTCCTGCGTGCAGTTGCAACAGGGCTAACCACAATTAAATGCCTGATTATAGGGTTATTTTGAAGAAAATTGCCTTATCTTTGTAATCTGTTTACAAACTGCTACTGAGATTTGGTCCTTGAAATTTTTTCCTTGGCTTACCTTTTAAAAAAAATTGTTTTATTTTGAAACAACTATAGATTGACAGTAAGTTACAAGGAGTTCCTGTGTACTTTTTCACCCAGTTTCCCCTCTTGGTTACATCTTCAAAACCAAGAATTTAACATTGGTACAATGTGTTACATGTACAGTGCTTTGTCCTTTTATTCCATGAGTAGATTTCTGTAACCACCACTGCAATCAAGATACAGACTGGACTCCTCTGTTACCCTAATGATCTCCCACGTGCTACCACTTTATATTCATACCCACCTCCTTCCCCCATCTCTAATACCTGGCTACCCTAATCTCTATGATTTTGTTTCTGTGTCTATGATTTTGTCATTTCAAGAATGTTACATAAACAGAATCATGCACATGTGACCTTTAAGGACTGACTTTTTTTCACTTGATGTGATTCTTCGGCTTAGGTTTATCTAGTAAGTCTGTTACACCCACTATTCCCAGATAAAAGTGGATTGCCTTCTGAAAGCTCTTAGCTGATCTCTGAAGGCCAGTATTTTATGATTCAATACATACTTGATACACCTTTCTTTAATTCAGTGTAGACTCTTTCTAAGAATGATTCAGTGTACACACAACAGGATAGAGGGCTTTTTTATTTGCACTACTCATGCAGCTCTCCTCTATCTCGTGAGACAGGTCGTGTCACCATTTTACAGAGGAGGAAATACTACGTGATTTGCTCCAGATTCCACACCTGTGAAGCGGTAGAGTTGACATTAGACCCTTGGTCCACGTAACTCAAGCCTGCCTCTCTTTTCAGCACAATCAGCTGCAGGGACACACTGATAACTGTATGTCAGTCACATAGTTTTCACAGCTCAGGTATTTATTGAGCATCTCTAATACCAGCAGCAGAACTGGTATGCCAGTATACTTACATACACGTAGTCAGGAAATGTGCACAGGAAGTTCTCATACCTTGGTGGGTATTGGAACTCACAGGAGAAATAGAAAACAAAATTTAATTTTAAAAATGAATGATTAAAAAAATGAATTTGAGTCTGTACCAATTAGAAGATTGACTAAATACTAAATTCTAGAATTTATGGTGTTGAAGTGGTGAGGGTATAGCTCAAGTGCTGGGGCGCACGCATAGCATGCACCAGGTCCTGGGTTCAGTCCCCAGCACTTCCATTAAAAAAGAAGAAGAAGAAGAAGAGAATTTATGGTGTTAATTTTTTTAAAGTCAACCTGTATTTTGTTTTTTACTTTGTGGGTATTTTATCTAAAAGGGGAAATTCATGATCATTTACAATGGTTTATATACTAACTATGGAAAGAACTGTTATTATCTTACATGATCTTTGAAGTTCTTAAGAAATTTAAAGGGAAATGAGCTAGAATTTATAAAAAAATACTTAGTGTCTTTGGAAGGTGCTAAATTAATAAAAGGTCACATTTACTGCTGCTATTACATAATTCTTAGTAGGAGCATAGTTGTTTCAGCTATTCTGAAATGGAGTAAGACTTATGTAAATGTCTTGTCATTTTCTTTGTTTTAAATCTGGTTTATGTGCAGTCAGCTGGACATTGACTCACTCAGGATACTCATTTCAAACATTGTTCAGGCAAAGCGTTGTGCTAGTTGCTGTGGAAATACAAGTAAGTCTATAACTGAGGTAACTGTTCTTCTAGGCTGCTGTTTCAGCTCTTACCCCTAATTTTCTTCCTTTTCCCTCTTTCCAGGATAAGCTATGATCTTCTTTTAAAATAAAGCAGAAGATTCTAATATTTACTTGATAGTTTGTTGTTGCAAGTACCAGATACAACTTGAGAATGTCTGTAAAATGTCTGTGCTTAAGTCTCATGTGGTTTGAACAGTTATGGGACTCTTTATTTTCAGATGATTTGAAAGGAGAACTAGATGAATACATCCAAAAATACATCCCTGGGAAAATTAAAATAATAAGAAATACCAAGCGTGAGGGATTGATTCGAGGAAGAATGATCGGAGCAGCCCACGCAACAGGTAGAACGCCCATTGATTTTTCTTGGTGGGTGTTGAGTGATGAGGGCTCTGTCCTTGGAGCCATTCCTGATTTCTGCAGAGGTCTGTGAAAAGTAGTGTCTTAAGTGGGCGTTCCCAGCAAGAGACATGAAGCTTGTTCAGTTTGGGAAAGGACTTTTCATAACTCCGACCCTGTTGTCCCAAAGTGCAGGCTCCAGGGAGGCAAACTCTTGAGTCCTCACTGGTCTGTTTTCATAGTGGTCCCTGATAGTGTGAACTGCTGCCTCTTAAATGGGTTTTTATCTTGTTCACTTATATGAGGAGAAGAGTCCAAACCATAATATAACTGAATTTTTGTGGTTTTTTTAATGCAAAATTTAAAATATATGTACCCAAACTGTTTGATTTGAATTCTCCCAACATTTCTTAATGTATGAATGCATACCACTGGTGATATGCATCATGGTTTTAGTTGGGTAGATGGACATAATATTATAAATTAACATCCGTGACTATAAAAGTATTTTAAAATTTCCTCTTAATCCTTCCGATTTCATCTAGGACAAAGTATCCATTAGTACTAGTGTCTTTTTAAAACCTTGCCAACACACAGTCTTCCCTTTGAAAAAGAAAGAACAAGTATCCAATTTAGACTCTTCTGCAGGAAATATATCTGGTTTTTACTCAGTTACATTGTATCAGTTCAGATGTGTTTCTTTTTATGGTTACCTCTATGGAAGGTCGGTGATCCTGATTTTCATTTATGATCTTGATTTTAAAAATTTCCTTAAAATGCATTTAACTTAAAATAAATGAATTTGCTTGAAAATATTAGGTATCTAGTATTATAGGTAGTGCCTGGGTGTGGCAAAAAAACAGAAAGTCATGAAGCAAATCTGAGAATCCCAGAACTTTGAGGGGCGTTCCCTAGTAGAGACAGACTCTCCTACCTTCCTGTACACCGCCCTCCTCAAGATAACCAGTCACTGGGGTACAAGGTGGTTGGCACCGCTTGCTGTCACCACCCACTGTCCCATTTCCTGGGTTAGTTGTGATTTAATTTTTAGAATTTTACTTCTTCCCTCCATTCTGTTAAACCTGCACAGAACAGGAGCAGTTAACAAAAAATGAGAAGTAGCTCGCCTCCATCCAGTCTGCAGTCATATGCAAATTGAATTCCAGACTTAATGATTTTCCTTCGCTAGAGGTCTAGTCAAAGACTTACTGACTTGGCTTCCTAAAGGAATGAGAGAAAGAGAAGGTTGTGAGTGTTCGTGGAGAATGGTGAGATGATGTCACAGAACATTGTCCTGGTAGAGTGTGTTGTTACTAAGAGTCTGTTATTTCCAGATAACAATAGTCATTTAGTTTTTCTCTTCAGACCTTTCAGTCCTTGTTCAGATATAGTTCAGAATCTGAAAAAAGTAAGCCAGCTTCTGGGAAATCAGTCTGAGGTTCAGTGACTGTGTATAATCTTCACCTCACTTAGTTAATTTGACTTTAATTGAAAAAGTAACATTTTTAGAATTAAGAAAAGCTATTAATACATTTTCTCCTCAAAGGAACATTGATTGAATTGAGTAGTGTACAGGTCGAATGGTTTGCCTTTCTGCATTAAATGACATCTGGTGAGCTGTAAACTCTTTACATCCTCACAAGGCCTGTTCACAGATATTGAAAGGCAAGACTCGGGCACTGTCACTCTCTTGCCTGAGATATTTCTGCTGTTGAAATAGGATGCATCCGGTGCTTCAAGCAATTCATGTAAAATCTGTCAGTTTATTTTATGGCTAAACCTTTAGAATAATAATGTTACCTGATGATGAGATTCTAAGTTTCTCAGTTGTTCAGAGTAGCCATTGTTGTCAGTCCCTCATTCCTGCTCACATTTATCAAGAGGAATTAAAAATGCGTGATAAAGTCTTTATGATTTTTATCTTTTTACTAGCTAGAAGAAAAGTGTATCCCATGGCTGGTGAGAGCCACTGTGGCCAGCACGACTGGGGTAATTAGGAAAGGTGGGAAATGGGAGAACAGAACTGAGCGCGGGGCAGTCAGGTGGTGAATCTGGGGTCGGGGTGGGGCTGTGTGGCTGATGAGAGGTGTCCGCCTTCTCTGCCTCCTGGGGATCCCTGCATCGTAGCAGTAATTGATAAATGAGGCCATGTTCTGAGTCACCAGTGAAGATGAGCTGTGTTCTCTGTTTACTAAGGCAGGGAGATAGATACTCAATTTATAAACATTTCCATTACGATAATTGCAATAGAAGTATCTACACACAGCTGGCCGCTTTCGTTGCACCGCACTCTGCACCTGGCTGTCCAAAGGACTGACTTGTTCTGTGAGACTTGGAATCTGTTTATTGGGGAGGATATGGATTGTCTGTAAATTTTTTAAAGAGTTGTGCATATTGTTTGTATTTGATATTCAATCATAGCAGTGCACTCCAGGCAGAATTCCTGGCCAGAAGACTCCCCCTGTTTGTGATTGGCAGTGAAGTAATGGTTTAATTGTTTGGGCTGAAAGAATGGCAGTTACGTTCACACCCTGTAAATGCATCATCCGATCGAACTGGCGGCCGGACCTAAATCCAGTGCTGTGGTGCTCTCGGGGCTCTGTTGTTTGCCTCCTCAGGAGAGGTCCTGGTGTTCCTGGACAGCCACTGTGAAGTAAACGTGATGTGGCTGCAGCCCCTGCTGGCCGCCATCCAGGAGGACGGGCAGATGGTGGTGTGCCCGGTGATCGACATCATCAGTGCTGACACACTCGCCTACAGCTCGTCCCCTGTGGTGCGGGGAGGATTCAACTGGGGGCTGCACTTCAAGTGGGATCTTGTTCCGCTCGCTGAGCTCGGGGGGCCAGAAGGAGCTACTGCGCCAATAAAGTAAGATCCTCCGAGTGTTGGGAACTTCCCGCCAGTGTGTTTTCAAAAGAGAAACACATTCAAAGAGCAGAAATGTTGGCTTAACTTGTTTGTCCATTAAAAATTCTTGAGTGCTTAGTGAATTTTATGTGCTTTGCCACGTCCTAAAGAAAGATTTATGAATAAGAAATTGTCCCTGCCCTCAAGGATTTATGTCTTTGTGGGAAAGGCAGAAGTCAGCCGTGTCCTGGGATAATTGTTGCAGAGGGAGGACCCACTGTGTGTTGTTTATGTCAGAACATGGCTTATTGATGGGTCACTGGCGTATTTTCGGTTCTTGGCTCGTGTGGGTGATGCTGTGAAGAACACGTAACACACAAGCCGCCTCTGTGTTTAGGATGTTTAGGATGGGTTCCTCCCAGTACAGTGACCAAGTCAGAGTGTGTGAATTGCTTTCAGGTCTCATCCGTGTTGTCTAGTATTAGAAACCTGCTCTTATGTGTTGTTTCTCCTTTCTTGTTTTTGCTTTCTTTTAAATTTCTCATACAGATTTCAGAAAGATTTGTCTGTGTTTCTACTTTTTAAAGTTCTTGGACCTACTCTTTTTAGAAAAATAGCATACATGGAAAGTACACATTTGTATGTATACATGCATACAGTTTAATAAATGGTTATAATGTGGACACCTGTGAAACTACCACCCAGGTCAAGAAACAGCGCCTGCATGCCCCCAGTGCACGCTCCCTGGTCACAGCCCCTGCCCTCGTCCCTAGAGGTGTCGTTCCCTGACCCACTCACCATTGCCTCGCTTTGCTGAGGAGTCTGACCAACTGTGTGTGATCTAAACAGTGTAGTCCAGTTTCCCTGGCTCTTGGACTTCATATAAATGACTCCGTGGGACTCATTACTGCCCTGCTTCCTTCACTCAACACTGCCTTAAAGGCCCCTACTGCAGTATATACCTGTAGTCAGTTCATTTTTATTGCTGTGTAATATTCTGTCAATGTATCGTTACGTTTATCCAGTTTGCTGTTGGTGAGGCAGTGGGGCTGTTCTCAGCTGCTGTTGTTTTAACGTTACACACGGTGCTGTTGTCAGCATTTTTATTCATGTTTCTTAGTTTATCAGTGCAACTGCCCAGGCACAGGCACACCTCTCCTCACCTTTCCTAAAAACATTTTCCCAGCACCTCAGGTGATCAGAATGCCTTGGCTCCTCAGCTCGCCTTTGGGTATTTGCCTACTTTCTTTCATCCGAACCAGACGGCCCAACCAGACGGCCCCGGGGCCAGGTGATCTGCTGGCAGGGCAGGGTCGCCTTCTGCTCTCAGGCTTTGTGTTGCAGTTCTTTGTGATTCCATGCAAAAGGCACACCCAGCTCTCAGTTGTCTTCCTGTCTTCACAGGCTTGCAACTCTTCTTGTTACCTTCCGGGGCTTTTGGTGTGGGTCTCGCTTCCCTCCCGGTGCTACAGGTGGGAGGTAGATGCTGGAGCAAGTCTCTCAGGAGAAGGAGGGCTGCCCTGGGACTGCCCGCCTGTGTTTCTGGTCCCCACGACCGCACATGGGAGGCAGACGAGAGTGCTGACTCCACTTTGGGCTTTCCTTTGCTGGTGCGAGAGGAGAGGGCCTCAGACTGTTATCTGTGTTCTCCGTGGATCCAGTGATAAGTCAAACCATATATAACAGCTTAGGGTGAAAAGTGGCTGACTCTACCTCTTTCTTCCCCATTCTCAGTCTTTCTCCCCAGAGGCCAATTCTTTTAACTGTTTTTAGTTTTGGTCTTCCAGGTCTTACTTCCTGAACTCTCTGATATGCAGAGTCTTCTTTTCAATGTCTAATCAACTTTAAACCCTCTCTATTGGAAAAGTGAAGGTTTGGCTCATTTACATCACTCCCGCATATTCTTTATCACTTAGTGTTGTAGGAGGCTCATTTTCAGTTACTGTGTTACTTCCTTTTGGTACTTAAAAAAAAACTCTTGATCTGTTGACTTTTGACAGCATCATTTGACACTTCCTTGTATGACGAGAATGTGAATACCCCTTTCCCTTCTACTTTTTCCCCACTTTTTCTTCGGTAAGCTATTTCATGGTATCAGGGTTGCTAACTTCTTGAGTTGGATGTTTAGATTTTGTAAATTTCCCATCTTTTTTCTAGTAGGTATTTAGGATGATAAATTTTCTTCTAATCAGGACTTTAGTGGCATCCCACAAATTATGATACATCATTTTTTATCATTTATTTCAAAATATTTTCATTGTTTTCAAAATAGTCATTGTCACGTCTTCTCTGACCTGTAGATTATTTAGCAGTGCATTTATTTATTTTTTAACTTTTTTTTCTTGAGTTACAGTCATTTTACAATGTTGTGTCTAATTCCAGTGTAGGGCACAGTTTTTCAGTTATGCATGAACATATATATATTCATTGTCACATTTTTTTGCTGTGAGCTACCATAAGATCTTGTATATATTTCCCTGTGCTGTACAGTATAATCTTGTTTATCTATTCTACATTTTGAAATCCGAGCAGTGCATTTATTATTTTATAGACATATGGAAATTTTATAGTTGTTATTTAATCCTAGCTTAATTATACTGTGGTCAAAATCTGTATTTTCTGCAATTAAAGATGGGATTCTGTATCATTTGGGTCGAGCTTATTGTGTTATTCAAATATTTTACGTTCTTTTTAGTTTTTAATTTACATATCAGTTATTGAAAATGGTGTATTAATTTCCCACTGCAATTATGTGTCTGTTTCTCCTTGCACTTCTTTATATGTTTTCTTCATATATTTTGAGGCTTTATTAATAGATGCATGACAATATAGAATTATTAAATCTTCTGGTAAGTGATACCATTTACCATTATGAATCTTTCATTCTATACTTCTAGAGTAGTGAAACTTCTGCTTTATAGGCTGATGTTAATATGGCTGTTCCAGCTTCGTTTTGGTTAGTACTTGGTTGTGTAATTTTTCTTTTGCTGTCAGTCTTTCTGTGGTCTCATATTTAGATGTGTCCCTTGTAAGCAGCATGTAGTTGCCTTTGTTTTGTTTTTAAAACAGTGTGGAAAACTGTCTTTTAACTAGGGCATTCAGTTAACTATGTTCAGTCATATTACTTACATTTTTGTGTTTATGATTACAGTGGTACTGTTTACTTTGTATCTGTTATACTCTTTTTTCTCTTCTCTTTCTTTTGGTCTGAGTTACGGTTATTCTGTTCCCAACTGCCACCTCATTATTGAACATTATGGATTCTTACATACGTTTCCCCTTTTGTGTTACTCTTTATCCTTTCTGCAGCTGCAGGCTTCCACCTAGGATTTATTTTCATTCTGACTAAGGAGCACATTTTAGTATTTCTTTTGGTTGAACCTTTAGGTGATTACTGCTCTCTTTTTCTGAAAATGCCTTTGTTTCACCATGATTCTGAAGAATCATTTTATTTGATACTCAGTTCTAGATTTGAAATTCAGTCCTGAATTATTAACTCAGTTCTAGATCAACACTCAGTTCTAGATTGATACTCAGCTTTAGATTGGTGCTCAGTTCTAGATTGATTTTATTTGATATTCAGATTCTAGATACTCAGTTCTAGATCGATACTCATTTCTAGATTTCAGTTCATATTCTTTCAGGACTGAAGATACCATTCAAGAACCTTCTGGCTTCCACTGTTTCTGGTGAGAAGTCATCAACTATCTTATTTTTGTTTCTTTGAAGGTAATCTCTCTTATTGGCTGCTTACATTTTTTTTCTGTGTCAGAAGTGTTTTTCAGATGTACATAAACTTGGTTTCTTTATTGATAGCATCTAATTATTTGCCAAATTCTCAGTCTTATCTTTTATGCTTGAATATATTGAGCAGTTATTTTAAAGTCTCTGCCTGAGAACTCCACTACATGAAACCCTGCACGTCTGTCACTGTTGTAGACTGTTTTCTCTTTCCTTCCATGTGGTTTATCTTTACCCTAACTGCCTGGTCATCTGTTAGTTGGCTTGCTTAGTTTTGTTCAATGCCAGACATTGTACATGAAAAATTACAGAAACACTTTCATAGGTGGGGTGATGTTTTCTCCCTGCAGAGAATTTTGCTTCATTCTGGACACTAGAATTTGTGACCACCTGATGCAGTTTCAGGAAGTGAGGTGACCGGAAGCCGAGCCTGAGTCGCTGCGAGGGCCGGTCTGCATCAGAGTCTCTCCTCAGATGCGGCATTGTTAACCTTCCGCGCCAGACAGTTCTTCATGGCGGGGGCTCTCTTGTGCATTTTAGCATATTTAGGAGCGTGCTTGGCCTAAACCCATCAGATGCAGTAGCACACCCCCCACCCATTGTGACAGCTGAAAATGTCTCCATGTGACAGTTCATGAAATGTTTGCTTGAAAGCTACTCGCCTAGCACATGTTGAGCCCCATTCAAAGTATGGGGTTTGTCTGGTCTCTCCTTGGCAGGCCCTAGAGCCCAGTTTTTACCCTGGTGGCTCTGCGAGACAGACTATCAAAAGGAATTAAATAATTCAGGTGAATTTCTGTCAACGGTAGTTACAGCTATTTAAAAAGCAATTTTGATGCTTAGAAAAGTAGCCTTCATTTGCCAGGTATCTAGTAATATAGAAGATTCAGTTACATGGCCCAGCTCATTCCCAATAAATTAAATCAAATGTTTCATAATATTTAATCTAGTTTTTATTAGTTATGTTCCAAAGCAGCACTGAATTTTTTTTAAAACAAAAACAGTAGGTAATTGAATCTATAGAACTGGTACAGTAATTGTGTTCTTTTCCTAGGTCACCGACAATGGCTGGAGGATTGTTTGCCATGAACAGAAACTATTTCAATGAACTTGGACAGTATGACAGTGGCATGGATATCTGGGGAGGGGAAAACTTAGAAATATCATTTCGGGTAATTTTTTTTACATGCTTAATTGTTAGCTTTGTGTGCAGTAAGAGTATGATTTCTATCTGTGATCCCATATTTTGTAATAAATTCTCTTTGATTATCTTTATTAACAAATTGTCCTTAATGAAGACTACTTTATCGTAATCTATGATATGGATAATACCCATTCAAAATAGTAAAAGCCTATAAGAAGCTTTCTTTTACCTTATAAGAACTTGAAGGGCTAGTTGTAATGAATATTTGGGTATAAATTCGTATTTAGGGTACATTTAGTCTAGAGTTCTGTTCTTTGTGTATTAATCTTATAGTTGAGGGTCATCAGATTTTCCTGATGGCCCAAGACCATCCTGGTTCACACCTGTTCTCCTTGAGAAATTATTAATAGCTCCCCACTTCACTTTCAGGTGTAGCCTAGTTTATATGACAGCTTATATCAACACCCCATGTATAGCTTACCAAATCCTTTAAATACAGGTAACTCCAACCTGAGGAAGAAATGCACCTTTCATAGTCTCTTCTCTAATTGCTAAGATTGGAAAGATAACAATTAGGGGTGGGGTCTCTGGCTCAGGCTGCCGTGGTGGTGGTAAGACAGTCTTTGGAAAAGGCAGAAAGAGGGCAAGGGAGAACTCAAGTTTCCGCCTCTTAGCAGGTGTCCTCATTCCCCACCTCCCACTGCCGGGTCTGTGTAACAAACCCCCGCGCAGATACTGTAATACCACGTGGGTATGTCATTTTGTGTTTTTGCAAATGTACTGACCACTGTGTTTTTAAAAGGCAATTTTCCTACATAATCTTAACAATTTGAAAGTTGAAAGGTATAATAGATATTATTAGTTCAGTCTTATTTTGTAGATAAAGTAATTGAGTCCCATAAAAAGCAAACTAACTGTATAAAGTAAAAGGTAAAATTTAGACCAGAACTAAAATCTTTTGAATCTTAATCTAGAGTTATTCTGTATATTTTATTAAAATTTTTTCCCTAAAAGACAGTGCATATTTGTATTTTATGAGGAAGTACCCATAAAAGTGAGATTAAAGGACCAGTTTGTAAATATTCTTTGTACCTAAATTCTGAAGGTCAACTTCCTTTATCTGTTAAAACAAATGTCTGGTAAAGTGTAATTTTAGACAACAGGTAGGAAAAGAGTATTACGTCTTAGAGTTTTCTTTTCTTTTTATTCATAAAGACATAATTTTTTAAAATATACCCTTTGACTTTAGTATATTTGAATAGTTATATACTATAAGATAAAACATCTTTCAAGGTTTCACAAGCACCTGTTTAAGAAAGATTAATTTCATGGTGATTCATACATGGGTCTCACAGCGCTGTGAGGGACTGTTAACACATACTTTGCTTCTGGCCAGATTTGGATGTGTGGAGGGAAACTCTTCATCATCCCTTGCTCTAGAGTCGGACACATTTTCCGGAAAAGGCGACCATATGGTTCCCCTGAGGGCCAGGACACCATGACACACAACTCCTTGAGGCTGGCACATGTCTGGCTAGATGAATACAAGGTGAGATTCAGTTTCTGGTTGAGAAGGATGAGTGACAAGGCCAGATGCTCCTTTGGGGATGGCTTTGGTTTCTCTCTTTCCTGTTTCTGTTTAGGAATTTCGGTTTGATGACATTTGCTCTAGAGCCACCTCTTTTCCAGGTTTCTTTTCTCCCTTCTCTTCACCCAGTTTTCCCCTCATTTTTGGTTCTCACTCTTCTTTTGATTTTCCAAGTGACCCATCTATAAGAGGTAATGTAGCCAACATCAGAAGAAATTCTGTTTCTTTATCCCTCCTGTCCCTCTCCTGTGACTCCCACAGAACCTGGCTGCTCTCCTGTGTTCACTGGGCTTCGCTCTGACCCAGTCCCAATGCCTTCCCATTCAGGCTCTGCACAGGTCTTATTCCTTCCTGCGTCCTCTTCTGCCGTGTGCAGCTTTGTAACAGCTTTATTGAGGTATGATTCATAAATAATTTTTAGGACATTTTGTCGCCCCCAAAAGAAGCTCCAAGTCCTTCAGCCATCATCCTTTCCCAGCATCCCACAGCCCTGGACAGCCACTGAGCTGCCTTCTGGCTCCATAGATGGGCCTGTTCTGGACACTGGCGGTATCTGGAAGAACATCACAACCCAGTGGGCCAGTATTTTCTAAATGCTTAATGTGTGATGTTAAAAAATCTTGTGTGGGCAAAGATCCATCTAAAGAGCAATACGGACTAGTAGAGTTTAATGCAACAATAGGAAGCTATTCCAACCTTAAAAGTTACTGAGTTTTGGTATAGTGTCAGAAAAGAATAGCCATAATTACTTGACAGTTATTAAAATATTTCTGCCATTTTAAACTACATATTTTCATGAAGTCATATTTTTAAAAATACATTTAACCAAACAACATATAGTAACAGATTGAGTGCAGGTACGAGAACTCAGCTCACTTCTATTCAGAAGACGACATTCAGACATCGGAAAGATTTCCGAGAATATGAAGCAGTGTCCTCAGTAATTTTGTTTTTGTTCAAAGCATGTTATTTATGCTAATAGGTAATGAGTTTGTTATTTTTAATAATTTATTGTTTCTAAACTTTAACTTCGAATACAGTAAATATCAAAAGAGATTTAACTCCTAGAAACAGAACCTCCTTGGAGTCTTCAGCAGTTTTTACTAATATAGAGTCCTGAGACCAAGGAGTTTGAGAACTGCTGATCTCAAGTGTAGTCTGTCTCACTGAGTCCATGGTTTACATTTTTACATGTTTTTCCATTTCTGAAATTGGGGCATATCGTACAATTTAAGATGTCTTCTTGTTGTCAGTGATGGGCCTAATTGTGTGAAAACTTTGCAGCCACATATTCAACATCAAGAAAACACTGGCATGAAAAACGTTTTTGCTCTTAATCCATTTATTTCCGTTCTTTTAACCTCTTGTATAATTGATTATATTCGGTTTAAACAAAAAAATCCTCTCACTTTTCACTTTTCTTTTTTAAACTCAGGAGCAGTATTTTTCCTTAAGACCTGATCTGAGGACCAGAAGCTATGGAAATATCAGCGAGCGTGTTGAACTGAGGAAGAAGCTAGACTGTAAATCATTTAAATGGTACTTGGATAATATTTACCCAGAGATGCAGATATCTGGGCCCAATGCCAAACCCCAGCAACCCATTTTCGTCAATAGAGGGCCAAAACGCCCCAAAGTCCTTCAGCGTGGAAGGGTAAGGAAGTAATCTTATCAAAATACCTCATATGTGCTGTGTGATGTGATCAGTGACATCGTAGACTTAACGGAATGTTTAAGGATAGGCTTTCACATGCCTTCGTTATATTCGTTTTATGAGAATTTCCTCTGTTCAGGTGTAAGACCTTAGAGATGTTAGTATCTTTGCTGTTTATATTAAAATTCTTTACCTGCCAGTGTTAAAGAGAACATGACTTCTCTAAATTATATGCTAGCCTCCGAGAGGGCAGATGTCAGTGTGAATGTACAAATCCGGCAGTATAAGCAAGTGGAAATATCATTTGGCAGAGACCAGTGTGAAAAGGAAAACAAAAGGAGAAATGGGGCAGCCACCCAGTGTTGGCCTCAGCTCTGGGCACTGACTGCAGACAGGAAGTGAAGGACGGTGGTAGGGTCTGCATGGCGGCGTGAAGTCAGATTTTACATCCAGTGTTCTGAGCGGTCATCTGTGCTTCACAGAGCACACGCTGATCAACCATAATTCTTTAGATGGTCCCCCCCCTTTTTTTTAATAATTTCTTCAGTGTTATAATCACACTTCAGTTTTAGGGGTCTAGCCATAAAATCATACCTTTTTCTTAAAATCATTTCTTAGAATTGGCTTTCTGAAAATTAAGTGTAGATATTTAATAGTTGCCTGGATTTCTCTTTTGTGTTACAGAGACACACCTCTTAGGGTTCCTTCACAATGCCAGCGATTCCTTAAGTAGCTTGAACTAAGCCTAGAGCTTTCCCCTTTCTTGTCTCTGCCTTGTAAGGTTAAAAATGTCATCAAGATGTTTATTAATTAGGTGTTTTCTCTTTGAGTGAAAATAGGTGCCTGTGTATGTTCACATAGTTGAAATCCCTTACCATGATTATTCCTGCCTTGCATAGCTGATCTCATTTAATATAAATGGATCCTTTTATGCAGACTAGATGCTCTTTGCTTCTTTATGTGTCTCACCCTCTGGCGTTTGTAACCTATATTTACATCCAGTGTAGTATGTACATTACATTTTAATTTTGTACTGTCTGGTTTATACCTTTTGTTCTTATTTCCATAGCTTCATTTGAAGGTGCTTTAGTGCAGAGATGGTATTTTCATTCCTCTCCTGTAGTAGATTAGTAAACTTGTACCTTTAGGTAGAATTTCTCCTTGACACTTCCTGCGTATATCGTTAAAACTGCCTAAACCTTGAAGCCTCTGTTGTGATGCTCTTAGGAGTGAAGCTAGAATTCAGTAGTAAAAGAGTTACTTTTTTACCTTTAGAATTCGTACCTCTGGAATAATATTCATGTTTCATCTGAAACCCCCTTTTCTGGGATTCTAAGGTGTCTTTTGACTTGGGTCTCTCTAAATGTGCCAGGTTGCCCAGAGCAGTCTCTTCTTTTACAGCTCTATCACCTCCAGACCAACAAGTGTCTGGTGGCCCAGGGCCGCCCAAGTCAGAAAGGAGGCCTGGTGGTGCTTAAGGCGTGCGACTACCGTGACGCCAGTCAGGTGAGTGTGCCTCGGGGCTCACAGCAGCCCTCGGGAGGGGTCCTGCGGTGAGGGGCAGCTGCTGGCACCCCCCCTTGAGGAGGGATGGGTGGACTGCCTTTTCCTAAACTATATTATTGGGAATGATTTTAAAGGTCATCTAATACTGTTTTCGTCTCGTTTATTTCCCCTACCTCTGCTCATTGTCATAGTCACATTTTTTAGAGCATTATTTGTACTTTGTAATTATACAGAATGAATTTGAATTATGTAGAATGAATTGAAAGCCATATGAATTTGTTAGAAATGGCAAAGGAAGTGTACGTTCTTTCTGGCCAAGAACGTATGTATCATATATGAGATACATATGTATAAACCTGCATTGGATGAGTCAGAATACCTTTTGTAGTGTTTTTCCGCAGTCAAGTTTTACTGATTATCAGTAGTTCATCAGAGGAACCACAACACAGTTTCAGTTCATTTCATTCACATAATTTATTATCAGGTGTATGTGTCCTTTCTGTGGTGTTAAGTGAACCTAAAAATAAGCAAAAACCTTGTTACGACTGCTTTGTGTCTGGTAAAACACCGTAGCCCCCAGGGGCCTGCTCTTCGGGCCATAGGGCCTCAGGCCTGCAGCGCTCAGCACATGCCCCCAGTAAGCAAGCTCCAGTTAGGTGCTTACATTTCCCTCTGAGTGGTGGGCTGGGGTCATTCAAGATGTAAAGAACACTTGGCCTTTTTAGAATAGTGTGTCCTTCGAAATTTCATAGAACACATTTTAGTTCTAGGAGAGTTCGTGCACACTAAGATGTTAACATGCTGGAAAACATGGTTTAAAAAGGTTTCCATGCCGTATGTGGGTAGGAGATGTGTCAGTGTTGTAGACACAGAAGTGTTAAATTGCAGGGCGTTCTGTTGGTTTCTGAAATTCATTCCAGAAAATGTAGGAAGTTTGAGGAGATGGAGTTACACTCTCCTGTCCGTACTGTGTTGTGACCGTACAGAACTGTACTGACACCCTGGCCACTAGCCACGTGTGGCTGTTGAACTTTAAACTAATTAAAGTAATTGAAATGAAATAAACAGATCATTCCCACAGTCACACTTGCCGCATTTCCAGTGCTCCGTGGCCGCACGTAGGCCGGTGGCTCCCGTGTTAGGCCGGCGCAGGTTGCGAAGCGCTTGAGTCGTCACAGGAGGCCCTGTTACGGCACTGCTGGGCTTCCCTTCATGTTACCAGGGGTAGTGCACACACGTTTGGGGGCTGTAGGTAGAAGTGGCAGTGAATAAAATAATCCAGAGGGTAGAAGAAAATGTTTCCTTTTGGATTTAGTGATGGTGCATGTTGGAGAATCAATTTATTCATTGCACTTAATTTCAGGCCTTTGTTCCTGAAAATAATCTGAGAGACTGTAAAGAAGTCTATCCTGAAAGATCATTTGTACATCTAAGGAGAATTGTGCTTCAGAGCTGTCAGGATGAAATCATAATCTAAGTCCAAATACTGTGACCCCTAGTCCTACAGGGTAACAGGTTAG